GCACTTTGTGCCCTGAGGCCCACAATGGAGCCCTTACAGACGTTGGCGTGCTGACGATTCGCATGCGCGAGCCCGGCGTTTATATAGCACAAACCAAATAGAGTAAATTGGCGGAGACAATGAACAACCGAAACTTCACTACTTTCTTCAACATAGACAGAAGCAACGGTGCCTTTGTTGTTTCTTCAGATTTGGGAGTGTGGTATCAAGCTCCGTACAGAGCTCTCACCATCCTCTGAACAATAGGACACAGGGAGGTATAGAAGTTTGTCTTTTGTAAGTAAATTAGAGTACAAAAATATTTAAGGTTACTTCATACTCTACGGGTTGCTACTGACAGAATTTGCGGAGCGACAGAGTACAACGGCCACTAACGCATCGGAGGTGGTAAAGATGATAATAGTAACAGACCCGTCTGTGAGTGTCTGCCATCAAACATGCCAGTCTTATCCACAAAGAGATAACACGCGTTGTTTTAAAATTGAACTGTCTATAAACCGAGCAATAGCTTATATGCCGTAAGTTATCCAAATCCTCGCAAGACACCATACACTAATTTTACAGCCAGATTAACTTGTGGCGTTTCTTACAGTACAGTTCCTTACATGCACAGCATGCTACTTATTGCGGCCACTAGACGCGGATTAAGTTCTGTTGTCGCACACTACTGAAATTCACATAATTTTTGTTCAAGCAAACTCGTCTTTTCAGCAGTCTGCAAAACTAATAAATAACTACCACCTCAGACCGAAAATTAAATTCTGCGGAGGAACACTTCAAACGAAGAAAATGCAAATATGCAATACAAACCTCCCTGGCTGTCAGAAATTGGGACACAGATTAAAGCCAGATTTAATAACCAATCAAGAAGTGAAAAATAAATGTACTGTCAGGGCTCGCGGCGCTAGCAAGACGCCCTAAATCAACGAAAAGTGTCCTATGATGACCAGCATAGTAAAGGCAGTGAAGCTAGGTAACACAGTGAAAAGGGGGTTTGAGTTTACAAACGCGCGGGCAAGAGGGTGATTACCTGAAGTGTTAATTGAACATCAGTGAGAGTTGGTGGAACAACGGAGGCCATCTCGTAGGCAACGTTTAGACCAGGTTCTGTGCCCAATGGGAGCCCAGGAGGCAAACCTTGAGTGCTGAAGGGGGTATTGCCTGCCA